GTTGTTGATACTTGCATATGTCAAAATTAGACTTTACTTTATAGAGTTTTTTAGTATTCCAGATTTTAAATTTAGTGGACTGTCTTTATCTAAAAGATCATACCCGTCATGAAGATGAAAAGCCAAATTAAGTAGATTAAATGGATATTTTTTTAATGATAATCCTTTAATAGTATCTAATTTTCCAAATGCCATATTCTCAAACTTTATTAGGGCAATATAGGTTGCGTGTAATCTACAAGAAATTCAGAAAAATTGGGATGTTGCTAATGAGTTGAATTTAGCAATCATGCCATTAAGCTCTGAAGACATATAGGCCATGTTATCTGTTAACCAAAAATAACATTTTTGAGGATCAATACCTTTTTCTTTACAAGTTTTGAATACAATGTTTGAAACTGTTTCAGTGTTACAACATGCTATATCTGTTACTTTTACTACAGTAATTATTGGTTTTATTTTATTATCATCTCAATACGAAAAACAAATAATTAATATTTTTTTTCCTCTCGTGTGCTTTCATCGGCCATAATACCATAACTAAAAAATTTAGAAGAAGCTTCTTTAGGATGATTTTGATTAAATGATAAAGTCACTATTTCTAAATTCCACCGTGCTAAAGTTGATGAAGTTATCCAATACTGTGGTGACTCTCCAGTCAAGAATTGATAGAAAACCTTAGTGGATTCTATAGTCGCATGTATAGAGGTTTGTCCTGTATTGCTAATATCAGTTGCTAATTTTACAAAGTTTGCATTATAATTTTTTTTATTTATTTTAAATAACTTGTTAGCAGCATGATGAAATTGGGCAGGCTAGATTTTTTTTGCCTTATGAATTGATGCACAAAATTTTGAGACTTGTCTTTGTTTTGACTTTTGCTTTTAATACTTGTGAAAAAACAAATGAAGTCAGTTGTTGATTGTAAGTTCTTTTTTTTTTAAGAGTTTATTCTCTTGCTTTAAATTTGTATTTTTTAATTCTAACGTATCGACAGTATGTTTATAAAAACTGGTATCAATAAAGTCACGTGCTTTATTTTGAAAATAAGTAGAAATTATCTTTTCTTTATGGATTCCTCGAGAGTAGACCATCATTTGAAATAGATTTAACACATTGAATATTTGTTGGTTGGGTAAATTACAAAGATGTACAAATATCTCATTGTGCTTTCATTGAATGTATGTATTCATTTCGCAAGATTCAAAAACTTTTTTTATTAAAGAATTGAAATCATCATCATTTAATTGTCTGAACAATGGAATTAGATGATCGAGCAGTTGTTTTTGAACGTAAGTGTTTATTGTTCTGGATTCAAGAAATTTTTTATCAAGGAGCTAAAATCATTGTCATTTAATTGTGAGAGTTTTGGAATTAGGTGATTAAGCAACATTAGAGGATTATTTATAAGATTCTGTAATATTTTTATTTGATTACACTCCTGTAACTCTCTAATATTTTTAAGGTGTTTCTTTTGTGATTTTAAATAACCCATTCTAGTTTTATTGTTGCAGTGAAATGTGTTTTTTTAATAATATTTAACTAATACAAAATGGTTCAGGAGATATAGAACTTATTATAATTAGAAAGATGCAATCAAGTCAATTACTGTTTCTCTCCTGCAATGAATCTGGTCTTTTTATATGCTTTGATAAACCATAAAATTTACAAAAACCATAGAATCATGAACTACAGAAAACAAAAATTAATAATTACAAAATAGGTTCATATTTGGATATTTATTAAAAAATAGTATAATTGAGATTTAAAGAACTAATTATCTTTATTCATCTTGGTATTTAGTACAGCATAGATATATAATACTTTTACTACAACACGTTATTATACAACACATTATTATTACAAACTAGGGATATATTATTTATCAAAGAATTTTATAATTGGGTTTAGAAAGCAATTGCTATTGTTCGCTTTGGCGTTTACAGTATAGATATAAAACACTTTTTACTACAACATGATTTTTTTAAATATAGTATTTTGACGCTTAAGTTTTTTTTATGATTTAATTAGGCATAAAGGAAAGATGCTTATTAAATAAACATATAAAACTGCAACTATGCTTACTTAAATTTAAAATTGTATTATTTAATTATTTGATTATGTACAAATGATATATTTCAATTAAATCAGGTACAATTCTTGAAAACAACAAGATGCGACTTGATTAAAGATAATTTTATAAGTTAAATCTGAAAATATGCTTTAATTATTGAATCAATTATTATATAAAAATGTGAAAGTTGAGTAAAATGCAATAGAGTAAAACTTAGATCGGGACACAATTTTTTATAACGAATGCGATTTGATTCAAGGTGAATTCTTTTTTTATTAATAAAATTAAATCTGAGAACGTATTTTAATTATTGAATCAATTATTATATAAAAAAGTGTAAAGGTTGAGTAATATTTTTAAAATAGTGCGAATGTTAGATGATTGTTGAAATTCATATATTGCTCTTTAATTACTATAATTATAAGTATCAATAATAATAAGGAAAGCCTCCTTTTTACGATTTATATTAGAAGTTATTAAAGCATACGTGGAATTATATCTTAATAGTTACCGTTAAAAACTGATTGTAGATATAAATTTAGAAAATAATTTCTAAAAATAAGAACAAAAAATCTTTAACACGTCGATATGCATTAATGAATCTCTAATTTAAGATAAGAATAAATCAAAAAATATGTTCTAATTCAATAAATCGTTAATTGTTTTTTTATAAATAAACTTCTGATATTATTAGAATATATGCATATTTCTATATATATGTAAACAAGCTTTAAAAAATAGCTTGCCGTATACGAAAGTGTAGACCT